ACAATTGCCACCCTCGAGAAGGGTCCAAGCACCGTTGAGTGGGGTTGGCAAAGCTGCGCCGCGCGCTGGATGCTCCACTTCGCCGCGGCAGTGGCGGCGACTATCATTGCTGCTTGCAAGCACGAGAGTGTTCCACGATTAAGGGTCCCTGAGAGCGCGAAAGCTGAACGGGCATTTTTTGGACCGGCTAAGGGCAATTTTTGGAGGCTGCTCACAGGGAAACTAAGGGTTTTGAGACCCAATCTTTCCGCTTCTGGTCTCCTTTTCAAATTCAAATGCCATTTTCATGCCGAAATTCCTCACTAAATAGACGACAATTAATTCTGGACGGAGGATGTATGTTGGAATTTCTGAAGCGCTGTTCAGATCACCATAAAGTTGTTCATGTTCCAAGCACTGACCTTTCCCAGACGCCAATGGATCAAATATTGCTCTCAGCGTCCACTTATGGACAAACGAATCAATTCATCGGCATCGTGCTTCCAATATGTTGGATTCCTGTGAATTCTGCAAACAGAAGCTCGTGGAGACGTAAGATTCTGTATAAATCATCCATACAATATTCATGCCAGTCATACACGAATCGCTATTACCGATTGTGGAAAATTGGTAAAACGAAGTACTTCAAATAGGCAATAGCCATAAGAACTCACGCTTTTACACAAATTTCTAAGATTATTTTATTTCTGCAATCCATAAACTGATGTTTTGGCAAAACAAGATGCAAAACATGCAGGAACTCAAGCGAAATATATATATATATATATATATATTAAATATATAGGTCAATAGGTATATTATATATATATATATATAAGGTTATTATTAAATATATAGGTCAATACCTATGATGGACATCTTACAAGCATCGAATCTTCGTGTTCAAGCGCAGCACCAACGAGACGTTGTGCGGCCTAATTGCCGATTTTCATCAATGGATGTTGTGGGCATTTCGGGTCGTGTCGATTTCCGGACCGCAAATGCCACTGTGCGGTGCATCAGAGAGCAATTGATATCAAAGCAATCTCCAGCTGCCTACCCAAAACAAGAAAAAGTGCATGGATGGTATTGTAAGGATTGGCAAAGCGAGAGCGACGATTGTTAGGAGAAAACGCGATTTTATATCTTTTGCCATGGCCCACCGACCTATCAAATTTGACCTGCGAGTGATTTGCAGAGCAGAGGGTGATCTTCAGAAGCATGGCACCAGTCGCGTAAATATGCAATTCTGAATATATGCCTGTGGTAAACGCACTCGTTGCTCGCGACATGTATCTGTTCTTCTCTGTTCTGCATTTTTTCCCCTTGCTACGTGAGAATCTTACGGCTTCCCGGTTTTTGTGTGTACACAGGTGTTCTCCAGTAATGTTATCAGCCACGCAGTGAAATGTGTGAACGCTCGTGTTGCTGGTATCGACAAGCTTCTGCTGGGGCGTTCCGACTTTGTTACAGCGTTTAAGGAGATCGTGCTCGAAAAGCTAGGTTTGAAGCAAGGAACGGCGGATGTGGTGGTGAGAGACATACGGGACGGGAGTATCGAAGTATCTTACAAGGTGAAAAAAATGCCGCGCAGTATTCGTTGGGTATTTTTTGAGTTAGAATTTCCATATGTTCATCACCAAAATGATTCCCATACACATTCAGATCAATCCTTGTGTGCTGGCGTGTTTGTGAATATTTGTCTCAATTATCAGGCGCCTATCCATCAGACGCATGTAGGCCTATCAGAAATCTCTTGCCCTCCAACTCTCCTCCATCCTTCCGTGTGCTAAAACGGGGGCGGGGTCACATCAGCGGACTCAGACTCGAATTGCAGGACACAGCCCTTGGGTGATTCGCCCTGAGCCCCATGTCGGAAGCCTCCGAATCCTGGATATCTACTATGATATGAGTGCTAAATCCTGGGAAACTGTTCAGGATATGGAGCCTCAATGTGTTGCAGGTGGATGGGCAGGAGGAGATATCGTTTATATAGAATAAAGCCACACCCACCATATGTTTCTTTTTGAATTTCAAATGTATTGCACTGTACGAATTGTACGAACAGAGGATCTCCCCACGAATTATGAAGCACAGCAGGGCCCTTTTCCCTTAGGAAACGATGTAGGGTCCCAAATGATAAGAAAAGCATCAGTGTTCGATGAAATTTCGATGTACCAGTGGGGGAGCCCAAAGCACCAAGTCAACAAATGTCACGAAGGAGAGAAAGGGTTCGTGACCAACCGTTGGCCGTGTAATGTTTTGAATGTCCCAAGTGCCCAGAATGTAATGAAACGTCCCTGTACATCCCATGTTTGTTGCCCTGTCTGATTTCCAGCATCGATCACCCAGCATATGGCTGCATACACTAGCAGCACAATCCGCATTTCCCCGAGGTTGCGTGGCTAAAATGTCCCACATCCTGGATATGGAGTAGGATGTGGGATGCACCCATGTTCTGAACGTCGATATGGTATCGGCACCATCTTTCGGATATGCGTATGCTGAATATGGCCATATCCTGACTATGTAACCTCCGTACACCAAGACACGGGCACCCGTGTCGTAATATATAGCATGCTCTGGATTGTATATCAAGAATGTGCAACCATTTCCCCTGTATGGGAGACCCAGCCCTGGGTGCATTGCGGGCCGTGGAAGTATGTAGACACAAACAACTGACTGTCGCACACCCTAATATGAACTAGAAACCAAAATCGCGTTGGGACTGTGAGAAGCCAATTGATAGTGTGAGGGCCCATGCTCACATGGTAGTGCAAGCGCATGTGCCCTGTACGAAAGGGAGCGGCCGGGCCTACCGCTTCTGAAAACGCTTCACGGTCCATGGTGAAGGACGAATTACCTATTGTGCCTTGTGACCGCGACGACTTGGGACTAGCGGACAGTCCTTGCAAATGAGCAAATCGTTTTAGAGTTGTTTTGTTGGTAGGCATTCTCTCACTTACCCCGTTCCGTCTGCCAATTACTGGACAGATGGAGGAATACCACCCTCGCGTTGAAGAGACGACAGCCGCTATCATTTACTTGAATATTGCGCTCGATCGAGCGGTATCCCAAATGTGCCCAGCGATGCTCCCTCGCGATACCGCGACCATTGACCATGAGTACCTGTAGATGACTAATACCGGGTTAGTAGTCATTACCTTTCACCTAACTTACCGCCCCATGGCAATGGCGCTGGAAATAGTACAAAATAATCTTGGCAGTCGCCCTTCCCCTCACACCCGAGCTAAACCAAGAATTTTGGGCCATTACAACGGGTGACGATAAGCTTATCGTTTGCACAAAATTACGTTGTTCCCTATACAAGTTTCGTGTCCCTGAGATCTGATTTGAGGAACTGTAGCAACCAGCCTGCGACGCCCATCATCTTTGCTCCTCCCTCCAAACATATTAGAAGGTTGTTTTAATCAATTTGTGCATTGCAAATCCGATATACTGGCAAGCTTAATTTGGGCAATAACAATCGTGTCGAAATTTCTATCATTAGGCCACCTGCATCCTACCATCTCGTAGCCCAGCCGCCTCATGTGCATTGCATTACACAGTATCTGCAGAACATCTCACGGTGGTCTACTCCCTATTGAGGCATGGGGCCACGGGTACCACGTTGGAACATTAAGTATATAGTGTAGATTACTGACGAAAAAAATATAGCCATTCCTGCTGCATGATTGGCGTTACCTGTTCACAAGCATCGTGCTCTGAACCTCCCACATTCTTGCAGGTTTAGTGGCTCTGGTAATAGGGGCTCTACAGAAACATTTAAAAAAATACATCGCAATCTTCATTTGCTATGCTACTGGGTCTCAGTGGGCAGGATTTTCCAATGTACTCACATGCACTCTCCAAGAAGCACTATCACACCCGTTGCAATCCCTGACCATTTCTCTGTTGGAATGTTCTAGGTTGTCCTACGAAACAACGTAGACAAGGACGACATTAAAGAATTCTGGGATGCTGCTACTGAAGACGTTCCTAGCTTGTTTGAGGACGAGCCGGAGTTTAGCCAATACCAGGCTGAGCACATTCGAGGACCTCGATTTGATGAACGCGTGGAATTGGATGCCGCCCTTAGCGAAGATTTGCTTGCAGTGGATGGCTCCTCCAATGTTCCTTATTTGGTAATACGTTGCTTTTAAAACAAAATATGGCACCTGGGATGACATATCGTCCAGAAAGAATTTTAAAATTGCCTGTTTCTCTCAATTTACAGCCACTGCATCTACAGCAAACTTCTATAGGAGTGATATAATGACCTCCAAGCTTTATTGCAGTTACCCTTACGGCAGCCTTTTATGACGCTATGCTGCGTATGGAAGGGATTTTGGTTGTAACCAAAACCTCAAGTGGATCAACATTCATAGACATCGATGCAACAGTTTAATCCGATATCAACATGTTTTCCCTTTTCTTTCAAATCGGTAGGTTTTCGAGTTCTTCGCAAATGTCCAGTATCCAGACAGAAACGCCATACAGGCTGTTTTCGTATTTCCTAGCTTTCAGGCTCTAGGTACTTGGGCATGATTCTCATTTTAGTTTCCGGTGTTTGAGGTTCCGTTCCCTCGTACTCTTGTTGAATTTCGTGTCCGAAAATGATGGATATTAAACAAACCTCGAGGTATGTCATTTGCGCACGTAATGTGCTAATTGGCCTTTACAGCACCACTTAACTGAAAACAAGTTTCTGCTTTTCTGTATTGCGTTTCATTTCTGCAGGGCACAAGAACCATGAAATACGCGGGAAATGCAGCAATTTCTTGTATGATGGCATTCACGGTCGCAATGTTCTTTTCTGTTGCACGGAAAATGATGCCATGTGCGGTAAGTTGCATTCCACACTCACTGGACTCAAGCTCACGAGTAGTATTTCCAAACGCGGGTATCAAAATCGTTACTGAAGCAAAAATTTCCCTGCCACAGTATTATTTCCAAGCTACATAAATTCGCGTTGTCGTTTTTGCATGCTTTCAAATGGAACACTCGAGCATAGTGTTATTGAATTTGCAGTACATGTAAAGAAGACCTAATATGATCAGCATGCTTTCTTGATCTAGGTTATGATATTGCAGAGTTCCCTGAGATTGGAGGTGTATATTCTCGCAAAGGTGCTATCTGGTCATGCTTTTGATCAAGTCTCAAAAAGATTTCCAGCAGTCTATCCGTTTGATATTTAACCGTATTTCTGAGTTCCAGATCAATGGCAACTTTGCAAAAATGGTAATTCCCATACCAGTGAACTCAACAGCAGGCAAACACACAGAATGATAACCTCAGAATTGAAGGAAAGAATAAATACCTGGAAACCACTGTTTGCTTTCCAGAACTGCATTTCACAGGGAAAAAGTGTCATTTGGATGGACGACAAATTGCTAACATGAAACCCACATGTTCGAAACAATGCGCAAATCCTACCTCATTTTCTTCGGTAGTCTGCCGATGCTGAGGTAGGTCATATTCTTTGTGCTCACATTTTGAAGGCGCCCGCGAAAAGCGCCAAACATTATTGCTTTGCGCGCACAGTTCTCCCCAGAGGGCGCATTACCTGTGAATGCATTGCTTGTGATAACACTATCTAAATTAATGTGCGAAGGATTGTGCTGAATCATTCACAATTGTTGGGGCTAATTTGAGAGAAATGAACATAAATGGCTAAAGGTCTTCTGCTTCGAAGATTCCTACATTGGCATACTCAATGGTGATGCAATTCGGATCAGAGAGCTCAATTTAAATCTTCGATTGGACAATTCGCACAACTGTATAGGTATTGCTAATAATTGAGCAAAATGGAGATTCCTTCATTTTCTTGGATAGGTCTGCGAGTGGTCGTAACAAATACCCTACTGTCTGGTGCACAAGGTGTTCCTGCTTGATCCTAATCTAACTTCAAAGCATTACGGTAATCGCATGTCAGCGGATCGACCAGTCGCAATCATTTTGCCATGCACCAATGAGAGCACACCCGCGGGATGTGAATTGTCTTTACCGATATCAAGATCGAATAATTTTTCTATTGTTGAGCAGATGGTCGAAACGTCAATTTATGTTTGACAAAAGATGCAACAGACACAATCACCTCAGAATGGTCTTCAATGGCGCCCTTTGCATGTATTGGCCTTCCCATGCTCTGATCGTGTTGCCCAATCATGTATGGAGCCCATTAAGTCTTGTGTCGGCTCGGTATGTGGCGACCCGCCAGAGTAGACAATGCCGATGGCCAAGGAAGGGGATTTTCGGGACCACGTTGAAAAGCTCCGAGATTTTTTCTGATATTTGTATGTTTGAAAGCGACACTACTGATTCATCGCTGAAATGGTTCATGAGTCCCAATGACGATTAATCCCAACATGTGGTGGCATGAACTTCCACAAATATCCGCAAGACTGAATACTGTGTAGAGGAGGCAAGGCTCGTGTCGAAAGTCGGTAATCGCACGACATTCACTCGTTATGGGTGAGTTAGTACTTGTATGGTGCACAGGTGGCCGGGAAGTGGCAGTGGGGCCTCCAGGTTGCCAGCGCATTGGGACTAACAATGTTGCCTAGCTACAATTGGACCTTGTGGGGGAGATCCAAGCTGTTCTTCTTTCTTCTGGCCGTGCCTAACCTATGTGCATGTGCGCTGCAGAAATGGATCAAGGAGCACATAAAGCGCAGAAAATCGAGACCGCTGGAGAAATGGATCAAGGAGCACAGGAAGCGCGCAAAATCGAGACAGCAGGGGCGGGCAAGCGGTCACTTGCTGACCGTGGACATATCCGAAATGCTAAGGCGAATACTGTGGGTTTGCCCCACTGGGACGTTCCTGAGCTACGAGGCCATGGTGACGGTGCTGACTGCACTGATAAAGGTGATGCCAGTAACTCGCTGCTCTGTGAAATTTGCCAATGCGCGCAACACCTGTTCTTAAACTTCATCGACCTGGAGGAACGAGGTCAGATACGATGGAAAGAAATTTCGCGGTGCCCCTGCCAGCGGATTGCTTGTTGGTGTCTTGTGGTGCTTCGGTTCGCATTTTCAAACCCGTCCTCGTGAATTGGCGAGCGCTTGGCTACGAGTGTGAATGCGCATTCCTGCAGCCTGTTGAACACATCCTGAGCGGTCCCTGCTGAGGTGCGCAGGTGAGGAATGAGGAAGAGGTGACATTCGAGCAGTTGGCGACAATGGCTCGAATGTTCTCCGAAACATATATGGTTAGATTGCCAAGGGACAGGTGCACGATGGTAAAGACAATGGCAATGCGTGGCTGCCTGCTTTTCGTCGCAGAGGTCTTAGAGCCTTTGAAGGGGCAGTGCCCTGAGAACAGCACACATGCAGGGAAAGGGAGGTCGGCTCGAAGCACCTGCTAGAGTGCTTGCCTGAAGAACTGCACCATGAGCCGATGGACGTCATTGTGGAAGACATGAAAGCTACTTACATGGATGGAAAGTTGATGCATTTCGGTGCACAGAATCACACAGGCAAGGATCTGGAGGTGCAAGAAGTGCTGTTGCTGAGGCCGCCTTGTGTGAGGGAGGGCAAAGAGCCCGAGAAAGTGGAGGTGCTTTTGTCAGAGCCAAAGGGCAACTGGGAATCCCTCAAACTCGCGATGGTGTACAAGGACGGCGTGGGGAAGCAGGTGGACGTCAGCCAAATTAACAAATCCAGGTTCGCGCACAGCAAAACTTCGTGCCCATGGCTGCTTGACGGTGGTGGGTACTTCTGTCTGGCAGTGGCACCGCAGAGGCTTGCAGGATTGTGCTTAGCAACGTCGAGGTTGCAGACAGAGGAGAAATAGCTGTAGCCCTTGAAACCAAAGTTACATATAAATCCCTGCAGGCTTTGAAGAATTTGCAAACTGAGAGAATAATTGAGAAATCCGCTGCAACAAACCTTCCAAAGAGCGAGAATAAATCTCCCGCTACATCAGCACTGCAATGATAATACGGATATAGCACTAGACAAAAGGTCCCCTAAGCTCGCAGAGAAAAAGGAGCGCACAAGATCAACTGTAATGCAATTTATGCAATCCGTGGTTTGACAATCGTTTGTCAATCAAACAAAATTCTGCAGGCTGATCGCTGGTTGATTTTCAGGCCCGCATTTGTCCGTGTATGTCGTATAAACGGTTGGGACCTGTCAGTCAGCCATCATGATGTTCGGCAAGAACTACGAGCGTTGACGCCTGTTATTCATCGAATGCGCCAACTCGACCGGATATTTGCGTCAATCACAGCTGCATTTTGCTGCAGGTTGAAATTCGCAAGCGAAGGTGGTGTGGGAACTGGATATCTGCACACCATTGGTATGGAATCCGCGCTCGGCACCTTTGCAAGTGGCTTCGCGCCGTTTTTGATCCTTCCAGAGACTGCTGCAGCCGAAGTCAACTCCTTGTTCAAAAGGACTGTGGAATGCCTCTGGAATAAGACACTTGCCGATAAGAGTGCGGACGACTTTGAGGGCTCAACACCGGAACTCATCTTTGAGGCTGTTGAGAGTGCAGCATGGATTCAGTTCTTCAAACCTTTCGCTCTCGACATGCATTTCCTGCTCGCTCCCGATGCTTCTGAGCTTCTAAACATCATGCAGACGGAGGGCTCCAAGAGGGACACCTACCTGGAGGTCTTACTGCACGTAGCTTCCTTCCTGGAGGTTTGTTCTGCGTTGGAAACAGAACAGTATCTTTTGAGCAGGCTCAAGGATGCTGGGATTGAACTCACAAACCAGGGGTCGGAAACGTCTGCCGGAAATATATTTCCGTGGCCGCCCGAACCATACCCCTGCAGTGTTTTCGCGCAGCTTTGGGGATCCCAACACGGAGTCCAGGTACCTCTGCCACTTCAAAAAGTGACAGGTGACCATGAATTCGGGAAGAATGGCCACGCGATCCTGCCTTCCACAGATAGGACTTGTCCTCAGCAAGATTGGCAAGTGCCTGCAGATGCGCCCCATCGCTCTGCACCTGCTTCTGTCCCTCGTGTGCGGGATAGCGTTATGGAGCACCCATATTGGCAACAGGAAGCATTCTTTGATGTTTATCTGGCTCGCGGAGAAAGTGACTTGGCAGGGGTGGTCGGCCAATGCGAAAGAAGTGGTGGGACCTGCGCAGCATCCATATCCCATTTTGGTCTTGCTCTTGTGAATGGCCTCTGGGAAGACACCGGTGTTGAAGGTGGGTTATGTTTTACTACATAATGCAGATGCACAAATGAAAAAAGGAGTTGCCTGAAATGTAATGAACTGAATGTGGAGAAATAACGAAGATCGCGAACAGGGTCTATTGAACGAGAAGAGTCAGCAATTTATTAACAGCCATAAAGCATTAATTAGTCGCTAGGAATCATCTGCAATCGAGCGTGTTAATGAGAAGGAATGGAAAGTTATCGAAAGTCATAAAATGTACTCTTTCTTGGCATGAGAATTCCGAGGCATAAAGCAATTCTGTTCTTTTCATAACATGCTTTCTTTCATTCTTTCTTTTGCTTCACACTGCAGTTGGCTATCTTTGTACATGGTAAAAGGCAGGCTTGGTTTTTGCGCAGTAAAAACTGATATTCTTTACGTTTTTACGCGTAAAATAGATTTTGCGTTTTTGCGCGTAAAAATACGTGAATGCAACGTAAAAGCTGCCTGGTATACATAAGGACAGTACATAAGGAGTTACAGAGTCGGGAGAGTGGCAGACAGACGCATTGGGAGAGACAGAAAAAGAATTGTTTTTAAAACACCATTATCGCTCTTGTCAAGGGCGAGTTGGAAATTGTGTTGTGGGTGCTGGATATGGCGGAGGACTGATCATTGTACAACTTTCATCGTGTAACCTACGTGTGCCAGGAACCCGTAAAAACGTAAAAAATAGCCGTAAAAAATGGCTTTTGCAAATTTACATTTGTACGCGTAAAAGCGTAAAAGCAAAAGCATAAACGTGAACGTAAAAGCAAAACCCGGTAAAAGAGACTGCACTGGGCCCAGTGCAGTCCTTTACAACACGTGAAAAGATAGCCAACTGCAGTGTGAAGCGAAAGAAAGAATAAAAGAAAGCATGTTATGAAAAGAACAAAATCGCTTTATGCGGCCACATGGGACTGTAAAGGTACCTTCTGAAGATTCTACCATTCTTTGCAAGAGCGGCACAATAAGTTGGACATTTGGACTGCACGCTATGGCTTTTGATTGTCGGGGATTGCATTCCTCACATTGCAGACTGTACAGCTTGACGAAGTTTTCATGCTTCGTCATCCATGCCATTGCTTCTGTTAATAACATTGAGGTGGACGGGCGACAGGTGGAAACACACAACATAATCACTGCGTGGGCACGTACCCCATTGACATGTTAGGCACGAGGTTCGGGACACCAATCTAGTGGAAAAATCTGACCACACGGACAGCAAGCAGATAAAACCGTTGGGCGCAGGACTCGAAAACGTTCACGGATGTGTAAACGCCCCTCACCGCCTATACGCGCTGTAGCTGTAGCGCGCACAGGCACAGCTTCGCCCCGTCGAGGGTAGTTTGAAGGTTACATCCGTTTTAGTCAACGGCCCGTTCTGCTTCTGTGCAAGTAAACTAGGAAGAAAGTCATTTTGCGGTAGAAGCACCCACCAGCCGCATTGGGGTTGCAGCTGCTGGTGACACACACTCATTCTGAGTGTATTGATCTGCACAGGTACCACTGTTGATTCATTTACCGCTGGGCATTTCAGAGGCCTTCATGAGCATCGCGGATGCCATTGTGAGCACCTGATGCAAGGAATCAATGGGAATTGCGCAGGGCCTTATTCTGCTTCTTAATAGGTGCATCATGTACTGCACATTCTCCTGATTCTCTGGGAGTTTTTGACAGACAGCGTTCTGCTTCTGAAACGCCGATTTGCGATTGCTGGATCAAAGTAAGGAAAAGCTGTTGATGAGGCGATGGGTGGATTCCTGGATATCTTTATTGGCGGCTACAAATACTGGCTGGCCTTCGCGACAGTAGAAGAGCCTGAAGCTGCTGCTGCGCATGCTTTAATGTCTTCAAAGCAACCACATTGCCATGTCTATTGGATAGTACTTATTCTTTCCGAAAACAAAACGCCGCCATCTAGTTTAGCAGCACAGGTCGAATCCAATTGCTAATACTTAGATCTCACTGCAATAGATGGCTCTGCATTCTACGTCGCGTGCTTTTGCAGCCGCATATTGAGCCCCACCAGAACTGCAAGAGACGGTTACAAACTCCTCAAGAAAAATTACATCTTGTGTGGATACCCTCGCAGAAACGACGCATTGAGCCCTGATTCTCTACAAGGAAGTGCATCCGCGAGTTTCCAGTTCAGATTCTCTTTTGCCAAAGCACGGTAGTCAATGCGGGAGCGAGCAAGGCAATGCGGGACTTCAGTATAGCAGGGAAGCCTCATCGAACAATGTACCGAAAGCCCCTCCAAACAGATTATTTTCAGGGCCAAGTATCAACTGCTAACTCTCTTATCTCCATGCCGGAAATGGTGTCACCATCAATTCTGCTCGTCACGAAGATATCCCATGTCGACCATAAGATCAACATTTCACATATAAAGCAAGAAAACAATTTTGTGCTGCAGCAGATTCATTGGTTCCACCGGTAATGGAACTTCGATTGCCGACGAGAAGCCCTTTGGGGAGGTGAGTGTGTGCTGCGCTTCTGATATTGCCCCAGCCGCTGTGGCATCGATGCCTCAGCCTGGATATCCTGTCCCCAGACTCACGAGCCTCACAGCTGATCAGCTGTGGATGTGCTGCCTCCACAACACTGCGTACCACAGCTTGGGCAAAGCAACGTTGCACTGATGGTTGGTTCATTCACGATGGTCGGCCTTGGGGTTCGATGGCAACCCTTCGTGGGACATGACCGTGGGGAAGAACTCGTCAACAGGACAATCGTGGCTCCAAAAGGGTATCCCCGCGTTCACGTAAATGTATCTGGGTGACCGACGGTGGACCGACGGGTGGACCCCGCGATTAGCCCCTGGAGGGATTTCGTCGACATGCTCAGCAAGGAGCTCTGTAAACAAAGATGGAACGTTGCATCATTGGCTCAAACTATTTTACACAGGCCACTTTGCGTATTGCCGACAGAAGCGCTTTGATTATTGCCAGGCCCAAAGCCCTACGATCCCCAAAAACACCGACAATCCAGGGATGAGGGCAGCAAAGCCTGCAGGCCGTTTTTCGGTGAATCATCGTACACTTGAAGTATGTTATTGTACAAACATTAAAGGCACATTTGACAAATTGCGAAATCGCCCAACCGCCCGGACAAGTTTTCTAACAAATACTACCATAAATCTACAGTCTCATTATGTAATTGTACCATAGAGGTACATGCAGCTACAGGCGACTTGGCACCCGCTAACATATGAGGTCTGACTCCATGCGGTCAATTCGATCATCAACGACGGAAGATGGCTCATCAACGCATATTTTTACAAGGGAAAATGACAAAAGGGGTTCCTCTGTAAGATACTTATCTTGACAAAAGGGGGTCCTCTGTGACAAAAGGGGGTCCTCTGCGGGGGTGCATTTGACAAAAGGGGGTCCTCTTACCGGCCCCCATACATTAGCCGCGTTGCAAGACCGGTGCCATACCGGCGTCGGTCGGCAAGCCGGTCCTACTAGTGGCGACCCCGCAGAGATCGCCGCTTGCTCTCCCCGCAGCCCCAATCGCCGCTTGGGTCCCTCGCAGGTCCCATCGCTACGACTCCCTCCCACAGCTCCGACCGCTGCGTGCTCCCTGCGCCCTTCTAGAGGGGTCGCCCCTAGTAGGACCGTGGTCCGATCTGGCGTCAGTCCGGTGCCGGTACGGCATCGGTCTGGCGCCGGTCTGTCAACGCGGCTAATGTACGGGGGGCGGTCAGAGGACCCCCTTTTGTCAAATGCACCCCTGCATAGGACACCCTTTTGTCGAGATAAGTATCTTACAGAGGACCCCCTTTTGTCATTTTCCCTTTTTACAATCATGCAGCTATCACGCAACCATGAACAGACAACTGATGCAGCTGCAGCTCCCACCACTGCGCTTCAGGGTGTTATGCTGGTGCCCGTCGATGAGGCAGCACAGCAGCCGGCTCCTTTGCAGATGCCCGGCGGAGGATCGAGCGTGTGAGACAGGCCCTCGAGGCCTATGACCGTCGTGGTTCGTAAACCCAGCGTCATTACAAGGCACGTCCAGCCATATATAAACCAGTTCCAATTCTGGACAGCTCACGGTCGTGTACAGGTAGATTGACAGAGTGTTCGAATCGCACGTTCCAGTCGACACCGTGTCCATACCATACTGGCGGCACCCATCAGAATCTTCCTTAGAGAACTTACCCCGAACTGACTAACCGGTCCCCTCACTTCTTTCTGTCCCTATTCGCCCACACCTATGCCTCTACGCCAGCCTACCTGGACCCGTCCGCCCGCCTGCGTTCCTGAGGTCCCTACCCACTAACTCCCTCACTCCCCCGTACTCACGCACTGCTACCCGATTCCCACCTAACCTCCCAATCCGTCTCCTACTGCCCCACTCCTTCACTGCCCCTTCTTCCCACATACTACCAGTCACCACTCGCCCCATGCTCCGCACAAGGGGCGTAGGCTTTGTCACATGTGTTCTTGCCAATGCAATAAACGGAATCAGCACCACCTTCGATGTGGCTCCAGGGTGCGATTTAAGCCTGCAAACAAACCAGTGCCCCGCACTGCCAGGGGCCCCCGCCGCTTTCCCTGCACCCCTGTTCTCAGAAGCGATCGGCTGACCCGTAGGAGGAGCCGCCCCGGTCGCCCAGCGTCTCCCTTCTCCAAGGTGCTCCCTTTGCTGACCACCCTGCCCACCGCGCCAGTCGCATTTGCCTGCAACCCTCCTTCGGATCGTTGTGACCGCAATGCCCACATGTTCGCTCGCCTGCCACCCTTGCCTCGGCAGCGTTCGTGTCGGAGTCGAAGTGCGTTCAGGGACTTGGTCCAGCTCTGGACCTCCTGGAAATTTGCAATAGGTTCAGTTGGTCGGACGCGAGTTCACTGTCTGCTGGCTTGCACCGCTGTCCTGGCCGTGTGGGGTACGCGACAACGAAAGTCGTACATGCTCAGGAAGGTTGGACAGGGGACACAGCTGGGCGTGAGAGTGCTGGATGCAAACGTCATATTGTTCTCTTGCCAACGGCCAGAATCGCTCTTGTGTGGGAGTCAGCTTAACCTTCTGCCATCGACCTTGCTTGGGTTCGTCAACGCATGGCGGCCTCTGGTGGTCCTCCTTGGGTTCTCTTCCAGCTGCGAAGTCGACTTTGACCCGTACTTGCTGTAATTGTTATTTGTTCCTGAGTGGCAGTGTAAATGTCATGATTGGGCTCCACTGTGCATTATTTGCAAGGCAGCCCAGCGAATCTGCAGTGCTTGTCCATCTTTGGTGTCGAAACAGAAGGTGCTATCAGATTATTAGTATCCATGGTCCAAATCAGTTGAATAGATGGCAAATTATGCCCATGCAACAATGCTGGAATGTATGTGGTGCAATAAATATGCCTCAGCCAATGGTGGAGGGAATCGAAAAACTTTCTTTGGCATTCTTAGGAACTGATGGTACAGGTTTCTTTCTGCCACAGGGAAGAGCTCTTGAGGAGGTGCAATGAGAGGATGGCATCCTGGGGGTGCAGGTGAGCACACAGCAGCTTGGTCGTTTCCCGAACAGGGAACATGGGATGTTGATTTTTTTGACTGCATCCATGAGTCCTCAGCATATATGATGTTGAATAGCAACCCCAGCCCATTGCACGACCTTGTCATGCACTGTATGCTAGGCAGGAAGGGGATCGACAATGGCCCACTGTGCAGCATGCCCAGTGCAACTTTGTCACATGGCAGGTCATTCAAGTTAACAGATGCTTAAAGTTGTAAATGTGAAGGAAAGCAGCAGTGGGCCATTGACATTTGTTGTGCTGTTGGTGTATCAACTGGCTGGACCTGCATGTGTGCTGCCTGCAAAATTGAGGAAGAATTCAGCAACAATGTACTGACAGCAGCTGTGCAATTCCTTGCTACGACAGGCATGCTGCATCCAAAGCTGTGGATTGGAGTGTGGTTGGTTCTGTCTTTTTCTCTTGCAGCCCTCCCTGTGGCTTCATGCCATCAGGGGCCTGATCCACAGAATCTCACACTGCAAGGTGAACCAAAATTTTGACATGGAGGTGTTGAAATGTTGCGAGAAGCCATCACAAGTACACCCATGGTGCTTCCAGGCAATGGCTTAAGAGGCAGTGATTGTCATGAATTGGAAAACGCAGTTCTTGAGAATGGATACCATCAACATATCCATGCTCAATCATCCGGCACCCAGAAGTTTGTCCGACAGATTACTTGTGATTTGCTCTCCTGCATTCCTGAGCGGTCAGATGCATAAATGTGCAGAATGCCCATGCAGCGCACATGTCATCTGAGATATTGTGGCAACATGTGCATTCAGATGAATCTTCATCACAGTGTTAGGGGGTTCACCATTTAACAGCACCACCCTGTAGAACTAGTGATGGAGGAGGTTGCATTTGGAAAATCTAATTCTGGAGCACTTGCACCTCATAGCCTGTTGTACAGAACCAGTTATTGCAGCATAGGTACTGTGCAGCTGGGTGAGTGGAAGTGGTTGAATTTGTGCCCTTTGTTTGATTGAGCTTGCTAATGGCTTTTTGTGTTGTGGGCTGGCCAGGTTCAAATGGAGTTGAAGTGTGCAAGAATCAACACACTGAGCAAAGTCAATCGCAACGATGTGTGAGTGTTCCTAAAAACTACTGTGGGGC